AAACTGCTGGCTGACTTAAATGCCCATAGCTCTGCTGAGGCCCTGAAGGGGCAAGTGAGATCCAGTGGGACCAGATGGTGGTAGAGCTGCGAGTCTGGGTGAATAAGCTCCCAGCTGCCTCGAAAGCCCATAACACTGCTCCAGTCCCTAAGGAGGGAGTGCGTCTAGGTGGGGCTGTGGAAGCAGGCAGCAGCAACCTGGAACCCCTGTGTGATTGTTCCCACAGTTGAGAGGAGACCCCACAGGGCCACTGCGATCCCAAGGAATGGCCCAGGCTATGTCAGGAACAGCTGACAGGGATCCTGGTGGGTGCAGATTACACAGCTCCTGCCCCCTCCCCCAGCGGCAGCAAGTGGAAGCAGTAACCAATTCTATCTCTATGCAGAGGCACAAATCCATGCCATCAAGCAGTATGAAAAAATATATTAAATCTCCAGAACAGAAGGAAAATGACAAATACCCAGAAAACAATCCTGAAGACACAGAAATCTATAAACTAAATGACAAAGAATTCAAAACAGGTATCATTAAAAAACTCAAAGAGTTAAAAGAAATACAGATAAACAACTCAAAAAGTTCAGGAGCTACATCACAAAAGAGCTTGATACCATAAAGAAGAACCAATCAGAAATGTTGGAGACGAAAAACACAATTGATGAGATAAAGAAAAATCAGGACTCCCTGAACAGTAGGGCTGATAATGTGGAGGACAGAATTAGTAGTCTGAAAGACAGGAATATAGAAATGCTTCAGATGGAGAAAGGTAGAGAACTAAGACTAAAAAGAAATGAAGAAATTCTCCGAGAAATATCCAACTCAATTAGGAAATGGAACATAAGGATTATAGGTATTCTAGAGGGAGAAGAGAAGGAGAATGGAGCAGAAACCTTGCTCAAAGAAATAATAGCTGAGAATTTTCCAAACCTGGAAATGGAACTGGAAATCCATGTGACAGAAGCCAATAGATCTCCAAACTTTATCTATGTAAAAAGACCAACTCCAAGGCATATAGTAGTGAAGCTGAAAAAAAGTCAATGACAAAGAGAAAATATTAAGGGCAGCAAGGTGAAGAAAATAACCAACAAAGGAACCTCTATCAGGCTGTCATCAAATTTCTCAGCAGAAAGCTTACAGGCTAGAAGAGAGTGGAATGATACATTCAAAATTCTGAAAGACAAAAACTTTCAGCAAAGAATACTCTATCCAGCCAAAATATACTTCAGATATGATGGAGAAATCAAAACCTTCGAGAAATAAAAACTTTCCCAGATAAACAGAAGTTAAGGGAGGTCATCACCACAAGACCCACCCTACAAGAAATCCTCAGGAAGGCCCTCATACCTGAAAAAAAAAATGAAAGGGGTTACAAAACCCTGAGCAGGGAGATAAGTAGAAAGACAAAATCAGAAAATTGCAGTTCTCCATCAGAACAGGTTAGCAAATGCTTAAGGAGAACATTAAAGATAAAGGGAAGGAAAACATCAAGAATAAATATAATCTTGTCATTTTAACCACAAACTCACAACGCAAGAAGAAAAAAGATGTGACAGTAACAACCTAGAAGGGGAAGAGGAAAGGGATGGAACTGGCTTAGTCTAAGGAAATAAGAGGCTATCAGAAAATGGACTATCTCATCTATGAGATGTTTTATACAAACCACGTGGTGGTAACCACTAAACAAATAATTAGATTGGAGACACAAATTACAAATAAGGAGAAAACTAAGAAAACCAGCAAAGAAAACTACCTAACTGAATTGACAGTCAGAAATACATGGGACGAGAAACAAAGGAAATACAGGAGAACCAGAAAACGAGCGATAAACTGGCAGCATTAGGCCTCTACATTTCAATAATCACTCAATGTAAATGGATTGAATTCTCCAATCAAAAGACCCAAGAGTGGCAGGATAGATTAAAAAACCAGACCCAACAATATGCTGCCTCCAGGAAACACATCTCAGCCCCAAAGACAAACACAGACTCAGAGAGAAGGGATGGAAGACGATTCTCCAAGCTAATAGTGAACAAAAGAAAGCAGGTGTCACCATACTTATATCAGACAAAATAGACTTCAGAAGAAAGCAGGTAAAGAGAGACAAAGAGGGGCAGTATATAATGGTAAAAGCAACACTCCACCAAGAAGACATAACACTTATAAATATATATGTACCTAACACAGGAGGACCAAAGTACATAAGGCAACTATTAACAAAACTAAAAGGAGATAACAACAATACAATAATAGTAGGGGACCTCAACACCCCACTAACACCCATAGACAGATCATCCAGACAGAAAGTCAACAAGGAAATATTGGACCTAAACGAAAAACCAGACCAGATGGACTTAATACATACATATAGAACACTCCATCCAAAAACAGCAGGTTATACATTCTTCTCGAGTGCATACAGAACATTCTCAAGGATAGACCATATATTGGCAAACAAAGCAAGCTTCAATAAATTTACGAGGACTGAAATAATATCAAGCATCTTTTCCGACCATAATGCTATGAAACTACAAATCAATTACAAGAAAAAAGCTTGGAAAGGGTCAAAGATGTGGAGATTAAACAACATGCTACTGAAAGACCAGTGGATCACTGGAGAAATCAAAGGAGAAATCAAACATTATCTGGAGGCAAATGAAAATGAAAACACACCATACCAATTCATTTGGGATGCAGCAAAAGCAGTAGTAAGAGGAAAATTCATGGCAATACAGGCTCACTTCAACAAACAAGAAAAATCTCAAGCAATCTCAAACTACACCTAAAAGAACTAGAAGAAGAACAAACAAGCCCAAAGTCAGGAGAAGGAGGGAAATAATAAAAATTAGAGCAGAAATAAATGAAATTGAAACAAAAAAGACAGTAGAAAGGATCAATGAAACAAAGAGCTGGTTCTTTGAGAAAATAAACAAAATTGACAAACCCTTAGCCAGGTTCACTAAGAAAAAAAGAGAAAAGACTCAAATAAATAAAATCAGAAATGAAAGAGGAGAAATTACAATGGTTACCACAGAAATACAAAGGATTATAAGAGAATACTATAAAAACTATATGCCAACAAATTGGACAATGTAGAAGAAATGGATAAATTCTTAGACTTCTACAGCTGCCCAAAACAGAATCAAGAAGAAACAGAATCTGAATAGACCAATCATGAATAAAGAGATTGAAACAGTAATCAAAAACCTCCCCAAAAATAAAAGTCCAGGACCAGATGGCTTCTCTGGAGAATTCTACCAAACATTCAAAGAAGATTTAATACCTATCGTTCTCAAACTATTCCAGAAAATTGAGGAAGATGGAGCACTTACTAACACATTCAACAAGGCCAACATCACCCTGATACCAAAACCCAACAAAGACAACACAAAGAAGGAAAATTACAGGCCTATATCACTGATGAACATAGATGCAAAAATCCTCAACAAAATATTGGCAAACCAAATACAGCAACACATTAAAAAGATCATACACCATGATCCAGGGACACAGGGATGGTTCAATATCTGCAAGTCAATCAACGTGATACACCACATTAACAAAATGAGGAACAAAAGCCACATGATCATCTCAATAGATGCAGAGAAAGCATTTGACAAGATGTGACATTCATTTATGATAAAAACTCTCAATAAAATAGGTATAGAAGGAAAGTACCTTAACATAACAAAGGCCATATATGACAAACCCACAGCCAACATCACACTCAATGGGGAAAAACTGAAAGCCATCCCTCTGAGAACAGGAACAACACAAGGATGCCCACTCTCATCATTCTTTTTTTGTTTGTTTTTTTTGAGGAAGATTAGCCCTGAGCTAACTACTGCCAATCCTCCTCTTTTTTTTTTTTAAAGATTTTATTTTTTCCTTTTTCTCCCCAAAGTCCCCCGGTACGTAGTTGTATATTCTTCGTTGTGAGTCCTTCTAGTTGTGGCATGTGGGACGCTGCCTCAGCGTGGTTTGATGAGCAGTGTCATGTCCACGCCCAGGATTCGAACCAACGAAACACTGGGCTGCCTGCAGTGGAGTGCGCGAACTCAACCGCTCGGCCATGGGGCCAGCCCCATCAATCCTCCTCTTTTTTCTGAGGAAGACAAGACTGGCCCTGAGCTAACATCCAGGCCCATCTTCCTGTACTTTACACATGGGACACCTACCACAGCATGGCTTTTGCCGAGCGGTGCCATGTCCACACCCGGGATCTGAACCGGCAAATCCCAGGCTGCTGAGAAGCAGAACATGTGAACTTAACTGCTGTGCCACCAGGCCGGCCCCTAATATCTGCATTTTAGAAAGGTAGTGGAGTGCTCTGTGGAAAGCCAACGAGAGGACACAGGTAGAGCAGTCTTTCTTTAGCTCAGAAACAGAGGCAGGGGCCTGTGGCATGGTGGCAGATAGGGTGACTATACATACAGAAACAACAGACATATTTCATGCTAATGGATAGTAGAGTGGGGGGTGTTCAGGGTGTCTCCCAAGGTTAGGCTTTAGGCAACTAAATGAATAGTGACAGCAACAACTGTGGTGACCAAAAAGAAAAGTCTGTATTACAGATGCTCAGAGTAGATGGCTTCCTGGCCTCCAGGTGGCTATGTCCATGGGCTCTCAATACAGATCTCAAGCTCAGGAGGGAGAGAGGGGCTAAAGGCACAGACTCTGGCATATGGATGTTGCTGAGACCAGTTGCTAAAGTTACCCAGTGAGAGACTGCAGAAGGCAGCTAAAGGCAGATTATCTCTCAGTGAATATCAACAATGGAATGGGAGATGGATAATGAAAGAGGAACCAGTAGATGAACCTTCAATCTGAAATCCTAGTTGGGTCAAGATAATAAAAGTACGTACTAAAACACAAGAACAAACAAACTTGGAGTACGTCAGTAACGGTAATCCTAAAGCTACTTAACACCTGAAAGAATTCAAAATTACTTTAGGCGTAAGTCCAGAAAAGTAAAGGATATTTTACTGGTTTAAAGTAGGTATTACCTATTCTGAAATAACCATCTTCTAATCGTTTGTCTTTGGTTTCTTTGCTTATTTCCAAACCTTCACTCTAAAATAGAACAAAAATATTAATTTTAAAAATAATTACTTCTATTTAAATCAAAGCTAAGTTGTTAATATGTTTAATAAACATAAAAGTGATATTTGTGGCCAAGCTATCTCTAAAAAGAGAAAATGTCATCTCAGTCTTGAACCTTAAAGGCTTATCAATACAAATGTTCTTTTTTTAAGCATCATCTCAATCTGTATATAATATATTGATGAGCAGAAAACTTAAATTTTAATTAATTTTACATTTAAATCAATTTAATAGAACACTATTTTCTATTAAAAATATACAGAAGTAAAGAACTGTGAGTTAACTTCAAAGAAATCTAAGCATTCCTTAGAGAGCAATAAATTAATTTTGTGTATTAATCAACAGGTATTAAAAACACACGGTATTTGGGGGCTCAAAATACAAACAGCAGGTAAACATTAAAGTAAAATAAGATTCATTTATTTTCCTAGTACAAACTTCTAGGTTATTTTCCAACAGGAAACAAAATGAAGGCTCTTTCTATGAATAAGGCAAATGGGACAATATACTAGGTGTTCCATATTTCAAAAAATAATTAATATTACTCACCACTGAGGTCCTGCAATCATGAGAATTTTCTTTCACCTCATAAACAAGAACAGCCTCAAATCAAGTCTGCTGGCATTAGTTCTTAAGGAAAAGTAAGGGGAAAAAATAGTCATACCTTAAAAGGCAAAACTTCCACAGTTGTGTTTAGCAGGATATCTCCTGGATGTTCTTGGTTGCCACTATGGAACAAATAACTAAAAAGACACACATAAAAATAAAAGTATGAGTCAGAATAGACTTCACGAAGATTCAGGAAGATGGCCCTACCTCAAGGTAAGCTTTCTAAACAAGACTTCAGCTACAAAGCAGACAACATGAGAAGTTGCAGTAACTGCACATTATGTATTCTGAGTAGTTTGTGGGAACTTAAAAACTTAGGGGGTGCAGCCCTTAGGCGATGTGTTAATTTCTGCTGTCAGAAGGGGCATGTTTGGTGCTTAATATAATTATGCACTTACCAGATAAAAAAGTGATGAGTTTTACGTTGCTGTTTACACTGCTTTAAATATATAATCCTCTTAACAAGAATAATCACAATTGTAGCAGCTATATATTACTACTGTATCTTGCATCAGAGAAAATTCTCACCAGGATAGCCACAAGTCATGGCAAGTTCAAAGACTAGTTTTATTCAATACAATTTTAGTATTAGTAGAATGAATGTAAATTAATCGATTCCAAATATCTGAATAATTCCATTCATCAATATTAACAAATATTTGAATAATGGTGATTATGTGATATACTGTGATAAATCTAAAATACTCTGGGTATGGGTATGATGGTCTCGTACTCTGAAAACTAGTGTGTAAGTTACACAGGGGAGGGTGGAGACTAGATAGAGCATACAAAGTATATCTAAATCTAAACCTAAAACGTAAGTTTACTTAAGTTAAATGGTTAAAAGTTTATGCTTAGGAGTCAAAAAGAGCTGGATCCAAATCTTAGGTCTCTCATTTACTAGAATTTTCATCATTAGCAAGTTACATTAACTTTTGGAGCCTGAGTTTCTCTATACAATGTAGATATTGCCATCTACCTCACACAGCCGAATCAAGGAGTTTGGGAACTGACAAAAAAGTACCTTGCGTATTAATACTCAGCAAGTAACACTTACAGTATGATTATAATATAGTTATAGTATGGTATTTGTGGGAAAAAATCACCTGAGATGAGGAGTTGGTTTTCAAATGTTACACAGGTCAGCGGACCCTAATAAGAAGCTCCTTCTAAGCTATGCCAAAAATTACTTCCAGCATTTTAAGATGAGAGACACACTTATTTTTAAGGCTTCTTTGACTTGGAATGCTGCTACATACAACCATGAGGTATTCAATATCTCAGTTATAGATGCAAAAATACGGGACAGGGGAAGCCACTTTTAAGAAAAGAGCCCATGTTATGATATAATCTGGGATTTAGATTGATTCAGAGCTGTTCACTATGTGATTCCTTGGTGAAAAACTCAATACCACCTAAGAAGTTTAACATTAGAAGAAGTAAACAACGGCACAGTCATATGGGATACTGTGCAGCCATTAAAATTTTTATGAATCATTTAAGATAGAGTATAAAGGAAAATATAAGATACAAAATTACATACAGACCATGATCTCAAAGCAGAAAGTACATAGAATTATCAAGAAAAAAATGTGCCAATATGGTCACAATGGTGTCTTTGGAGTTGTCATTTTTTTTCCCTCGTTCTTCATACTCTTAAATTTTTGTATACTGAACACATATCATGCTATAGAGTCAGAAGATATTTTTCCTAACTCTCCATTTCTGTATTGATAAATACAACTTCTGCTTTTTCCCCTCTCAGCAAATAAGCTATTGTGGAAATCCAAAACTGATTCCTTTTCTCAGTCCTGGGAAGGGTGGGTCTATCCATGAACTCAAATATACTATGTTTTTGAACTGTGTTTTACTAGAAATGAGCCCTCAGTAGGGGCACATAAATATTACTTTATAGAGGTTTATTGTAAATGTATTTGTCGTCAAAAAATTTCATCTCCAATATATGAGTTCTTTAGCAGATTCTTTGATGGAATTATTTTCATTTACTAAAAATAAACCAACAGATATACTTTAAGGCTATTCTTGTTTATGACATGAAAGAAAACCATTGTTTCTAATTCTATGATGATTTTGTGAGTTTGTGGTGAGGAAGATTGTCCCTGAGCTAATATCTGTGCCAATCTTCCTCCACTTTTTGTATATGGGGACAACACCACAGCATGGCTTGATGAGCGGTGTGTAGGTCTGCGCCCAGAATCCGAACGTGTGAACACCAGGCCACCAAAGGGGAGTGCGCGAACTTAACCACTATGCCACCAGACTGGCCCACTATGATGATTCTTTAAGTATGGTAAACAATACCTCAAAGTGCAAGTTATTACTATATAGTATAAAAGCGAACATTAAATAACAATAAAAATATTATATACTCATAAATGTGCAAAATATTACTCAATAGTATTTTTCTATGTTTCCCAGTGATGTTCCCACTGCTTAAAACATTTTTACACTTAAATTCCTCTTTAGAATCAGTTTAGAGTCACAAAACAAAATTAATAACATCACGTTATAACTATACATTATTTCTGACTACCTTAAACAGAATTATTCCAAATGATTTTTGGCGGATTCTAAAAACCAATGGCCCTCACACAAGAACACATAACGTAACATGCCACAGGCTAGAAAATTCTATTTTATTCTAGGGATTACATTTAAGTATGCCACAGACAGTATGGGGAACAAACCCAAAACTGAGGAAAAGTTGAAGGAATCATGATTGTTAAATGAAAAACGGGGAGAAAAAGTCCTAAATGTTAAAATGAATATAAATTCTCAAAAACATAAAAGGATTGTAAATTCCTCCATGGTGTACTAAAAATTATCCAGCATTTGCAAAGCCATTGACCACAAATAGTCATAGTCTGTGAAATTTATCATATCAACCAAAGTGCTGGGTAACCAAATAGCTCTCAGTCAAATCTTAAGGGATATTCTAGAAAAGGAAACGAAAACTAACTTGAGATTTTGAGGGAGAGTTCTATATAAAAGTATTTAAAAAACTATACTAAATATATGTTCAGAAATACCAGTAGAATTTATCAAACAGCTAAACACTGACATTATATCTGAAAACAACACACCCATTTTATTACTGAGTTGCAGGAAATGTAATTTATAACCCAACATTTGGGACCTCTGTCTCCTTGTATCTATTACACACAAAAAAATTCCATCTTAAATCACATTATGAAATAAGCAGTCTGAATTGTAAGACCAAATATATTTCAATACCAACCTTTCTACATTGACCGGCTTATCAAATTTAAACAAGATATAGTCCCCAGCTACTGGAGTTACAGCCCAGAAGAAATCCTCCCCCATGTAAGTCTTCTCCAGTGTGTGTCCTTGGTAGACCTTCAGAGAAGTAGACACCTCTGCAGGTGGGTTTACGTGGATTTTAAGAAGTAACGGTTTCATGTAATCTTTATCCTAGGAGGAAAGACAAATGCTATTAAACAACATTTAGCTTACTCATAGTGAAGAAGAAGAGCAATGATTATACACTAAAAAACAAATTGTATGTGCATGAGAAAAATAAAATCACCAACCGTGAGTTTCTGAATTTTTCCTGTTAGTGAAGAATGCAGACCAACATGCTGGAAAAGGGAAGGCCTGAAGCGAATTCGCAGATTTGCTTTCTGTCTATCACAATGTTTCTAAATATTTAAAAAAAAATCATGTTAGTATTACATTATAAAGTGAAATCTCATCCTCATCTGAAAAAATGAGAAGACTATTGACAAGAAAACACTTCATCTCATAATTCCAAGTCACGTTTTTTTGGGAGCCCTCTTTGAGGCATTAATAGATTTGCTATGTACTTGATAAAGAAACATGATGTGAAAATTAAAAATAACCACATCTAAGGGAAGAGTTAAGAATTTAATTTCAATCCTCTTTCAAGATACATCAATATTGATTTGACTTTTAATACTAAAATGCACAAACTATAAACTAGAAGCTTGGTTCAAATATACAAAATATCTTTAATCGGGTAATACAATAAAGAATTTGTAAATAAGAAAAGGCACATTTTGTTGCATGAAAGCAATTTGAAAATGTGAGGCCATAACTTGATTACAAGCAAGTAAATGATATTAAATGTTCCACAGACAAATCTATCTCAGCACGGTTAAGGGACACCTATGTTTCAACTCAAAGTGGCCCATGGCCCAGACTTCAGATGACAACCTCTCCTCACACTTGATCAGTGTGTGAAGCCACAGCGCCAGGAGGGCTCTCAATGTGCGTTAGTGCTTCACGACGGTCATGAGTATTTTGTCATGCTTTCACAAACCCTTTTCATTTTCAATGATTTTTAGACGTTTTGAGCTAAGAACATATTGAAAAAGACATATTTATGACATTTCCACTTTGAAAGACCTCTAATAATTTACTGGGTGATAAAATGCCTAATTTTTCTCAAGAGGTTTTGCCTAACTAACATTATTACTAACACTAGAATAGAGATGAAACAGTATATTTTATTTATACGAATTCAACTAGTCAAGTGTAAGGAGAGGGAGAGGAAAGGGAAGGGAGGGAGACCAAAGGGGAAGAGCAAAGCGTGGGGAGAGGGAAAGTGGAGGAGAGAGAGGGCAAGAAGAAAAGAACAGTGCCTGAGATGGAGTCCATCACCCAATAGGCAATGGACACACTGGGGCCTGAAGAGTCAAAACAGGTCCAGAGCCTTTGGGAGAATGTACGAATGCTTTGAGGGATTCCCCAGACACTGTCAAAGACATGCTGTTCTGGAGGCCAGCACGTCTGTGGTGACAGCTCCCTCGACATCCTAGTGGAAGCAACCGAAGAATTATGTGCCACAGAAAAACATGGCCTGAGGAAGAGTGAAAGAACAGATAACACTGTCCAAAGGTTTATGTACTAAAAGATACGTATGATGTAAAGAGTTTTCATTTTTACTAGAGAGATTTTCACCTCACAGGCTCATTTTAGAACCTAACCATATATTAGACAAAACTGCACAGGACAATTAAATGCAAGTATATTGTAAGAGTGAAAAGATGACATTTTTTGTTTCCTACAATAAAAATTCCTGTAAATCACAAAGAAAATACGGGTAAGGGCTTATTACATCATAAAAATGAGTGGTTCAAATCAATTTATATGTTCAATCATTGTTGGAAAGTAGATACTCTGCTATTTCGCTATATTCCAGGTTTTGGTCTAAAAAAGTGGTTATTTTTTTAAAAAACAAAGAGAACGCAATGATAGCTTACAGACACCAGAAGACAGTGTCCTAAAAACTAACTGGCAAGTAGGATGATCAAACTATTCTAGAGAATATAAAGTCACAAAGTCAAATTAAATGTTTATTGGGCCAGCCCCATGGCATAGTGGTTAAGTTAGGCATGCACCACTTCAGCAGCCTGGGTTCATGGGTTGGGATCCCAGGTGCAGACCTACACCACTCATGAGCCATGCTGTGGTGGCTACCCACATAGAAAAGTGGAGGAGGACTGGTACAGATGTTAGCTCAGGGCTATTCTTCCTCAGAAAAAAAATTTAAATGTTTGTTTGTTAGAATGAATGTTGTCAACCCTATAATAACATACACTCATAATAAATATTTCCTTGTTATTACATGTCAAAATTTACATTCATTTTTAAGAATGTGTACATTCATATTTTATTTACGCTTACCCCAAATAAATAAAAATTTACTTTTCTTTTCAGAGGTATAATTCAAATTGGACAAGGAAAACACAGCTAATTACGTTTTACAATAAGATTTCTAGGGAAATAACTTGATATTTGAATAATCAAAGCAAAAATCATCATTTACTTACTTGCCACCATCATCCCAAAGGTCAGCATATTAGTATGAACATTGGTTTCTTGCAAGTAACACACTGAAAGGTACTTTTTTGACTTGCCACTGTTTTCGTATAAAATATTACTTCTATTTTATTCCCTATTTCCAGATGTGTTGGGAACTGATATTGTCCCCAAAGTATTTGAAAAAAGAAAGCTGACACAGAATATGAAGAAAACTGAAACAACACCCCACACAGGATATGATCAACATCTAGAGCCAACAGGAAGGACATACCAGAGCCTGAAGACACTATAAACATTTATCAGCAATTTAAAGAAAAGTGGGCTTCACTCATTTACAGGATTTTCCTCTGCTATTTAAAAGTCTCTCTAGCGTAGGAGTTTTGTCAGTTCACGAAAGAAGGCCAGCACTTGAAATGTTAAGTGAAACACTGTTTTCTTTCAGCTAGCTATTTAATTGTTCCTTTACAAAATCTGGCTCCCTTAAGTCACTTTCACAAAATATAGAAAAGAAGCTTCTTCTACCTTCATAAGAAATTAACTTACTGCATCTTTTTCCGGGTTGCAGACTTTCACCCAGAGAATATGGTCCAAGAGCCAATCAATGGGTTTCTCCTTATAGAACATAAATATGAACTCTACAATCAGAGTGAGGTCTGGTGCTTGAAACATTTTACCTGAAAAGATATCCCCAGTCAATAGCTGTAATAAAGAAACCAAGCAACAAATGGCTTAAATAAGAGAAATCTATACAACAAATACATTAAAGCTGTGCTTCCGATCATAAATCATTGTGAATAATCCCCACTTGTCTTACCAAAACCAAAGAAACCTGCATTAGCTAAACACTCCAAGTTGTCACCTGGGTATAAAAGGAAGTACTGAACTCCTGACTTTCTCTGTTACAAAATCTATCCGACAATTACTGGCTCAAGGGAGTCAGGAAGCAGGCAGAGATTTTTCCTTTATGCTTATTAAGATTCTTCCCATAAAAAAAGAAACTTAAGAGGTGTAGGTAAAAATTTTTAACTAAATCAATTAATGCAAAAAACAAGGACTCCTAATTCTGTCTTCACTGAAACCTTCACAAGTAAAGATGTTTTTTGACTATTAAATTAAGTTTTGAGACAAATGATCAACAAGGTCAAAGGTCCAGCCTCTAATACTTAAAGTTTTAAAGTACCACAGGAAGTGAAATGTTATCCTCTGGGTGTTTCTTAAAACCTGTAAATTCCCTTCAGTTCTTCAACTTTAAACATATTCTCTTTAATTGGATAATTTAGGAATTTTAGTGAAAAAAACTTGTAAAATGAGCACCCTGACTAGTCACTGAAAGCAACATATGAATACCAATTACTGAACAAGAACCTCACGGACTACATCAAATACCAGGAATTCATATTAGAAAACTGCTAGTGTTGCATTCTTTTCAAAAGAACCTCAACCTTGCAAAAGCACTGGGCTATACAGGAGGCACTGGGGGCGCCAGACAAGAACTCTAGAGGAAGCATTACAATCTCTGAGGTCTCCAAACACTACTTGGGATTGACTTTCATCATTTCATACATGGAAGTTTACCTAAGTTAAACTTCCTCAAAAGCACTCCATTTCTAGAGAAAAAAAGACAAATTTAAGGTAAAAAAACAATTAGTTTAAGACTCCAAGAGTCACAGTTATTTCTGAAAAGCAGAGAAATCTGACACTTTCCTTACCAATGAAGCCCAGCTGGGAGAACTCTAGTATCATCCATTCCTCAGAAGAAAGTTGAAGTGCAAAATTTTTTATAGTGTTAAAGTAATTCTGTTTGACAATAATATCGTCTTCAAGCTAAAGGAAGTTGAACAATCATATTAATAACTCAGAAAGAGAAGGACACATTCAAACAGAAGGACATTCTTTATTGTGGAAAAACCGAAGTACACTTTTATAATGAAAATCAAGAAAACAATGGTCAACAATGATGAAAATATAAAAAAAATGTATTAAAAGAAAATGAGGAAAATAAAATGGAAGATGCACATAGCAAGTCAACTAACCCACTCCCTCACTGTGGGAAATAACAATACCACTCCACGAATTACCCCTTTTGGTCCTTTCATAGTGCCCAACATGATTTTACACCATCTTTTTTATTCTTCAAAGGAAAAGAATTTCTGTTGGCCTTTTAAATTTGTTTTGCTTTTTGCATAATACATGTACCAAGTCAAAAAGAAAGTCAAAGAAAAAGCTAGCAGCTTTCCTTCTCTGCACTCCACCCTGCTAGCTGAGGTCACCAATGTTAAAAGCTGGGTGTGCATCCATTTGACACCTTCTGTATGGACAAACAGCACATACAGGCCCATACATACTTACGGTTCCCATCTACATTTACATTTTTATTAAAAAAGGATCATATTATGAAACTGGCTTTTTTCTCTTAATATATCATGAATATCCTTCCATGGTAATAAGGATATATTTAAATCACATGATCTTTTTAGTAGATGCATACTGTGCCACGGTATTGATGGATAACAATTCACTCAACTCTTCCCTGCTCATAGGCAGACATTCAGGTTGTTTCTCATTTTTTGTCAAAGCAAACAAATGCTGCAATAAATACGCTTATACTTACACAATTAGTGTTTTTCATTTCTGTAGGATAGATTCCTAAAAGTTCCCTTTTTATAATTTATAAGATATCTTCAAAATACTTAAGATGCTGTGGCAATTCACAGAGTGCCAGTTAACCCCATGTGCTCTGCCAGCACCATGTGTTATCTACCCTCAGAATTTTTACCAGCTCCATGGGGAGTTGACAGAGATCAGGGATCAGGAGTGTCTACAAAGACTTCCTCCACAGAATGTCCTTTCATAAAATTTTAAAGTCACAAGATGATTTTAATATCCTAAGAAACTTTTCCTCTTCTTAATTTCATGTTATCATTTCCAGTTACCCACTAAGTAATTTTCACTTATTTTAGTATTTAGATCTTTCACATCTTTAAGTCCCATACGTTTTCTTCTTCCCATCTGTGAAGAAACAGTAGTACTTGGAAAGATATGACACTGAATCACCAAATATTTATTGAGCTTCTATTATGTTCCAGACACTAGACTAAACACTGGGAATATTTCAGTGAACAAAAAGACATGTTTTATGCCCTCAGAGCTTTTAGGGAAGCTGAAGGGAAAACTAGACAAAGCATAGCGCTACACTGGCACCCACCCTTGCTTTCTGAAAGAGATGCCCATGCTCAAACCTAAACACTTCCTGTATATACCCAAAGGAAAGATGACCCCTATTATCAGGCAATTCCACGTTTTTCCAATAAGTAAGTTTAAAAACAAGTTTTGGACTAATTTAAAAATACAGAGATGTAGATGAAATAGTCAAATGTTTACTTAAAATTTAGTACACTAATTTTGGTTATCACACATAAATTCACATTTTTTATATTAAACTAGAAAAATTACTTTGTTCCACTCTCACATCTCATCCAACAACTTCACTTGTTAAAAAACTTTTTATTTTAAGATAATTATAGATTCATATGCAGCTCTAAGAAATAATAGAGAGATTCCCAAACACCCTTCACCCAGTTTACCCCAGTATAACATTCTCCCATCTAACTACAGTACAATATCAAAATCAGCAAACTGACTTTGATACAATTCATCGACCTTATTCAAATTTCACCAAGTTCTACATGTATTCAGTGGTGTGTGTTTACGTGTATTTGGTTCCGTGCAATTTTACCTGTGTAGATTTGTGTGACTACCACTACAGTTAGAAGACAGAACAGTTCCATCACAAGGATTCTCAAGCTACCCTTTGTATCCACAGCCACCTCTCTCTCTTTCACTCCCTTCCTAGCCTCTGGTAACCAATAGTCTGTTCTCTAACTCTATACAGTCATGCGTCACATAACGATGGTGATACTCCTAAGAAATGTGTCATTAGGCAACTTTGTCGTTGTGCGAACATCATAGCGTCCTTAGATGAATCTAGATGGTATAGACTACTACACACCTAGGTTATATGGTATTAATCTTATGGGACCTCCATTGTATATGTGGTTCATTGTTGACCAAAACATCATTATGTGGTACATGAGTAATTTTGTCATTTCAAGAATGCTATATAAATGGAATCATACAGTATGTAACTTTTTAAGACTGGCTTTTTAAACTTGGCATAATACTCCTAAGATCCAAGATGTTTGTTTCTTTTCATTATTAGTATTCCATGGTATGGATGTACCACAGTTTGTTTAACCATTCGCCTCCTTAAGAACGTTTAGGTTGCTTCCAGATTTTGGCAATTACGAATAAAGCTGCCATGAACCTTCATGTACAGGTATTTTAGTGAATATACATGCTTCTCTGCCACCAGTGTTTCGTTATGGCAAGAGAGACTCTTTGAAAAATCTAACCCATATCTCATTAGTGATCGCTAGTTTACAGAGGAAAGCTAAAAAACAAGATGTACAATATTGTTTTTACAGTATGCAAATGTAGAATCAGAAAGAGGTGGAATGTTATATTTACATTTTTGCTTAAATTTTTTAAAAGTATAAGGAGAAACCAAAAACTAATGGTGGTCACCCATGGGGGAGAGAAGAAACACAGTAAAGGGGACAGGCCTAAAAGTGAGACTTCTGTGAATGTATCTTGTTTTACACAAGTTCTTTTTTTCTTCTTCTCCCCAAAGCCCCCAGTTGCAATATCCTAGTTGCAGGTACTTCTAGTTTCTCTATGTGGGATGCTGCCTCAGCATGTCTTGATGAGCAATGCTAAGTCCACACTCAGGATCCATACCCGCAAAACCCTGGGCCGCTGAAGTGGAGCACATGAACTTAACCACTTGGCCATAGCGCTGGCCCCTACATAAGTTTTGGTTTTGGAATGTTATGTTTTTTACAAGTAAAAAGGGAAAAAAAATCCTAAAAACTGAATACAAACTGAAACAATGAACCTAGTTTCATATCAAGTTGACAGCATGGTAACACCATATAAAGAATCTCTAGAAGTGACTTTCAAACAGAATTTTGACTATATAGTCACAACAGGCTATAATCTAAGAGGAAAAAAAGGACAAAGAAAATTTAAACTGCATTCAGTAGTCTAACTGTTAGTAGTGATCTTGGTATTGTTATTTTGAAACTATTGTAGTCTATATTATAGAATAAAAGAAATATGTCATTAGGATAATTTTATTGAAAACCAAGAGAAAAGAAATACATGTATAAATTCAAAAAAGTTAAATAAAAACCCTATAATCTTACATTACAACTGGGAATATCAATATAAACTTGTGATTTTTTTTTTCTCTGAAAAGTAAAATCTCTTTTCCTTGCTGAAAAGCCTAGAAGCAAGGACACCAAAATAGCAATAGCAATCTCAAGCACTCAGATTGTGTCCTAAATAGCATATGCTTCCAAAAGGCACAGGATCTTTACAGAAATGGCTGATTCTAGATCTGGAATAAGAAATACGCAAGATGTGTCAGTCAGCAAAGAAGTGATCAAAGATTACTGGACTTATATGTAAAGAACATAAGAGCCAGTTTGAAGAGATTCCCACTGGCTTATGATGTACCAATGTAAGCATCAACATAAATAATGATTGCAAAGATTGAGGCAAATCAAATATATCTTAAAAATCCATGAGTTCATAACGATACTTTAAAAATGGCCACAACTGGAGATTGCTAGGGTTCCAAATTTAACAACTGATGAAGAGAAAATCAAACATTTATCATGCCTTTCCTCTGTGAGCTATTTTTCAAGGTAACCAAGTAGTTAAGGAGGGAAAGTTCTCTATAGAAGAATTCAGCTTATAAGAACATTAGAAATTACAGAATTAGAAAATTACCACTTGGCAACCTCTAGAGAAATAATTGGTCTGGGGGTAAATATTCAATGGATCCTGAAATCATAGGAGGAATGGCTGCTGGGGAGGTTTACAAAGGAGAGATGAAGCTGACACCACTAAATCCACTGATTAATCTCAGCATCAGTAAAAGTGGGACAACCAGACATACAGCGCCTCATTATGTGATACAGGAAGAATTACTCAGTACCACCCATGAAATGCCTGAATCATCGAACAGTTTTCCAGAAGACACTGTTTTCAATTCCAAGTTATTTGTGATACAGCACTTTATGAAATTGTGTATGATGCTGTCACTGGAAACTTCATTCCAAGCCATAAGCATAGCACTAGGACAAGTGGCATTTTCTTCTTCCCTTGTTTATGTCTCTGATGACCAGAGTCAGCCCTGGCTCTACTGCCTTTTTAAAGGTACTCTTCAGAAGTCTTGGGTAATACACCCCCAACATAGGCAACACATTCCTAGGACAATCATAAAATCTAGGTTAAAATCCTTTGCTTCCTAACCCCTCACTATGATTTTCCCCAAATTTCCCAGGTGATTTCTATCCTTCACAAACACTCAAAACTAGCATTAAACTGAAGACTTTCCAGGCAAATATGTTTTTCCCACCAATACTTTATAAATCATAATAAACTCACTGAGAGAATTCTATATGAGATTATGTAAAGACTTGAATGTGAAGCAACTCCCTCTTTTTGAGGCATAATTTTTTGGCAAATAGGGTAATTTTAATAATGTTCACTGAATTCATCCTTGAAACAGCTAAGAAGTTGGAAACAATCTAAACGACCAACAATAAAGTCATTATGATACGTGAATACTCTGAATCACGTCAAGAAGTGAGTAAAAATTGTACCAATCTATAATTACTGGCATATAAAGGTGTCTACACTATGTTAAGTGACATCAAAACAGGCTATATGACAGTACGTACAAAATGTTCTTGTAAAAAATGGTTGCATTAAATGAGTTAAGATGTGTAAAGCATAAATTGTAAAGAATAATGCCTGACACATGGTAAGCATGCAATAACTGTTAGTTCATAGCTGCTTCTGTTGTTATAATATCTTATATACTGACCCTGCTTGGGGAAAGTTCTCCTTAACATCCTCTCCTTCTTAACCCCATCTTTCCTTAATTTCCTAAATATTTACTTTTCCTATACTCCACCAAAAAGCTTTGAGGTTCCATTAATTCTTTCCTTGGAGGGAAATTTAAAACAAATTTTAAAAGTGATACAACTATACTTTTAAATTCTCTCTATAAAGTTCTTGATCATAATGTAAATAGTTATATATGGGCCCTAGAACAAAGAGCAAGATTCAACTATACTAATATTTGGGATATGTTAAAATAAAATGTTTTGAAATTATTATGATGAAATTAAAATAAGACTTTAAGGTATTTATAGGAAATGTACCATCCAAATCTAGGATATTGTGTTTTTATATGCACAACTGTTGTTTACTGTTACAGTGTTATATTCTGACCCTATATCATTCACATTTCCCATCCTGTGAACCAAGGAAGGGCTCGTGCACACCTGAATGCAGCTGGCCCCAGGTAAAATGTCAAAGGAGACAAAGTCTCTCCTTAATAGGTCTGCCTTCCTACATGATGCCAGGCTTTTTTCCTTCTTTCCTCCCCGCCTCAAGCCCTGCCAGCAGCTGCCCAACCATTTCCTTTCTGATTTGGGGACCCAGAGCCTCTTCTTGCCACTCTCATCAAAACATCCTCTCAGGAAAAGATCTAATAAACCTTTTATACTGAAAAAAATAACCGACAGGCTTACTGTGCTATACCTCTCAGGAGTATCCGCATTTTGAACAAGGGATAAAGAACTTTGGTTAAAGAAATGAAATTCCAATTGTGAAATTCAAGCTTACATCATTAATGAAAATGAGATTTGGAAGAAACAAGAGCTTCCTAAAATTATTGAAGTTGTTGCCTATCTGACTACCTGACTAACTTAAAATCTGTATCATTAAAGACTTATTTTTTGAGCCATGCTGCTAAAAGTTGGACTATTAGAATGAAATGTCAGTTTTACTATCTTCAGTATAAATGTAAATGTATGGTGGCATACAACAAACAAGCCTACCATAAGACCACTAAAAACTTATATGGAAATCCTTCTGTAAAATTTGCCAAATAATTAAATCTTAAGGTTCTTTTTAACCGAGGAGAGAGGGGGATGAGAGAGAAGATGGAGGGATGGGAGAAAAGGAAGGAGGAGATGAGTGCCCTGTCCAATGTCACACCACTAAGTGGAGAGCCCGAGTTTGTGCTAACCCAGAGGATGGAAGAGCAGAGACCATGTTTCCAATGATTATGACAGACTCTTCTCCTTTCTGATACACTGTTATGTCACAGATCTCAGACGGTTTATGCTTTCAAAACTTCCTATTTTACTGAAAATATACCATTGATATTACTTTTTCTTTAAAAACATGAAAAACATTAAATGAAAAACCACACTTACCTGAAGGTAATATACGCCCTTTTCTTGAGCATACATCATTAGAAAACAATAATCTAGGTTTTGCTTTGTTCTCCATCTGAAATAAAAATTTTCAAAAATAAGTCAGGAATCAGACTCAAATTTAACAAAATAAGATAAGATGTATAATATTTTATAATATATATTATATATATGTTATATATACACAATATATATTTTATACATACATGATGTATATGTATGATATATATACAGATATATGATATAGATAGATACACATACATGATATACCCACCTAAGAGAGAATGAAAGAGAATTCACTTTTCTCTAATGAAGCCTTTATCAAAATGTATTCCCTCAAAACACTAATCCTCAAGACGTCCTGAAGGAAAAAGAAGTCTAAGGTCAAGTAAGTTTGGGAAGCACATATATTCCTTTCTGGTTACATATTAGTATATTAGAGGCACTGAAATATCCAGCAGTAAACATATTTGTTGAAAAAAGTTTTTAATCTAATATTTACCAAACTTCCTTGACCACAGGCCCTTTTTTCAGTAACATCTTAATGGAACTAGGGCTTCGAAAATTACACTTTGGGGAATCACTGCTCTGGTGCTTAGGACTATGTTTTGCATACAGGCAGAGATTAACAAATATGTACTAAATGCTTAAAAACCCCAAATATCATATTAAAATTGACAATATTAAGTCCTTTCAGCAAATTCTTGGTAGCCTACAGAAACACACTGACAGTTTATCATAGGGATAAACTGGCAACTGATGTTGAACAAGAGAAGTGGTTCCAAAAGCCAGGTTAAAAAAACAATAAAATCGAAGCTTTGAATCATACTAAGTAAACTTCTCCAGAATATACCTCACAACCTGTTCTGAATTTAATGAGATTATCTAGAATTTTTTACCAAATTCAACCCAAAACATTTTTTAAATAAAAACATATTTATTGAGACGCAATTAACGAACTGTGTGAACATATCTGTCTCTGGGACAAATTAACAACTCAAGAAATACAATAAATCTCTTCCCCAAATACTATTTTTTTCCTCTTTTCCGGTTATAGAAAATCCAAAACTAATGCCAATATCTCTTAAATTATTTTGTTTTTAATAACAACACAATGAAAGTTAAGCCCTCTAATTTTAGAGATCCAGAGATGAATAAATCCAATTGACTAATTACACTACTGCAATATAATTTTGCAGAACAGTATTACTGTTTTTATTACTTTTATTGAACCAATTCTCATTTATGTTGCATGCAGACATCAGATTTCTATCTGGACTAAGTTTTGTGTTATACTGAATATACTCTTAAGAAAAGTTCTAACATCAGAGAGCAGCACAGTTACAAAAGTTGTTAAGTTTACCAAATTCAACCTGTCATCTGAGACTCCGTAAAATTTCCAATAAAATAACCAAAAGTTGTTAGCTCTCACTAATTAGCTCAATCCTGAAATGTATTAACCTTCGATAAACAAGAACTACATTTATTATCTATTACACTTACAAGGGTGGGGGATTTTAAACAACACAACCTCACCTTACTCTTTCTTTAGAGTCTCCAAACGTCTCCTTTAAGTTTGTCAGGTCAGGGTAATAGCTCTCAGGAGGTGATATTACTTCCACCAAGCCAGAACTGATTTCTTTAGAAAACCTATCATGAGAAAGGTTAGCTGAGTTATTTAAGTTCTGTGGGACTTTATTTATCTTAATGCTCAACTTACTGTGTTTAACATAATACACATCAGTAAGATATACTTTTATGGTCACAGTGTGTTCAGTAAGGTAGCTCATCACTGATTTTATTTGTCAGAAAATACAGGTTTTTCCAATAGCACAAGGTTTCTTTAAAAATAATGCCTAAAAAACAGTGTAAAATGGCACTATCCTTCGAGTAGCATAGAAATCCCAGGCCAACAGTAGGTATTACATTCCCAAATAGTATCAGAATTTTAAAAAATCAAATCAAGGGGTCACAGAAAATAGAGACATGAAGAAAAACAAACTAATACATGTGTGTGTACCTATATACATATATTCATGCAAAAGTCAAAGTTCTTCAATTTTCAGGAAGGTTTATTTGTAGGTTACAGACTATATGTCATTGTAAACTGGTGTTTCTCAACTGGGCGTGACCCTTTCACCTGAGGGTACACTGAACAGTGTCTGGAGACGTCTGACCGTCATAACTGGGGGCAGTGCCACTGACATCTAGTGGGCACACACCAGGGATGCTGCGTACACAGCCTACAAGCATAGGACAGTCCTCACAATAAAGAGTTATCTAGCACAAAATGTCACTAGTGCCAAGGTTCAGACACTCTGTTCTAAAGTTGTTTCAATCAGTCTTTACTGACTCAAATGTAATTTCTTTCACATTTGCATTCTCCCTTATTTCCTTTTTGCAAATCTCCACAAGGTGTTCGTGCGACAACCTGCCTTCACACAAACGCTCTTAGCGATGCACTGCACTTTCTTCTGGGCTTGCTTTTCCTGCACACTGAGGAAAAGGGAATCGGAGAATTACTGCATCAGCCCCACAGGCCTGCCCACGCAGGAGCGACAATGATTGCCCTGTTCCTATATTTAAGAAGTCTATGCTAAACAGTGCTTATAGAAAAGGCTGCCAAGAAATTGAGCACTTGAAGGAAAATCTAACAAATGCACAATTTAACCCTGAACTATGCATATATTTTTAAAATCCTTGTTTTAGCTTTCTTGCCATCCTCCTCATGGCTGGGAATCTTTTTTTTTCCTTTTTGGTGAGGACGATTGTCCCTGAGCTAATATCTGTTGCCAATCTTCCTCTCCCCCCCACCCCCTAAAAGCCCCAGTACATAGTTGTACAGCCTAGTTGTAAGTCTTTCTAGTTCTTCTATGTGGGATGCTGCGACAGCATGGCTTGACGAGTGGTGTGTAGGTCGCCCCAGGATCTGAACCAGCGAACCTTGGGCCACCGAAGTGGAGCACACGAACTTGACCACTCAGCCATGCGGCTGGCCCCCTTGTTTTAGCTTTTTGATAGACAAAGATAGAGCCACATTATTTTAAATCCAGACTCGGCAAATAATTGTTATTTCTCTTTTAGTTTTCTTTGTAAGGAGAAGATATATCTTTTGGGGGCAAAAACAGATACAATTCAATGAAGAAACCCATATCAAGACTAATTTTTATGACATCACTATTAAAACTATGAAGGCAATATTAACTAATGCTACCCGAAACTTACTAAGCTTTCCATCTGTTACCTACAATGTGCCTTGCTCAGAGTAAATTGTTACACAATCTTTGCAGAATAGAATAAAAGATTTAAACATAGTTTAGCCTTGAGGTTTGAAAGTGCTATGCAACTATCTGCCCTGACAGCAGAAATTTTTTTTCTTGGTAAACAGAGAGTGAAGGATTTAAGTAATCTCATATGTCTCTCTATATCCACTGTCTCCAGGATTAAACACTGTTATGTGATGGTGCTACCTACATATGACATTCAAGTCTTTTCTTAATGAAATACACAAATTTATCCCATCAGATAACTGGATATATATGCACTCACTTTATGACAATGTAAAAGACCAATGATAGATGGCCCTATCTGTGAACTCCACAGAGAAATGAACTATAAAAGAAGGCATTTTCTTTTGGCAAAAAGCCAAAAGACAATAGTAACTAAAATATTTTCATTTCCATAATTAAGAAGAACTTACTCTTTCTCCAGGTTGGCTACAACACTGTGTACATAATCAGTATCTGTCTGGGAAATAAAAAAAACATTGTATCTACATTCATGCTTTTATATTTTTATTTAATTTTTAATACTGAACTCAAAATTAAATACATGATTAAAACATTCACTGAAAACATCACATTAAATTTTGAGACAATTTATGGGATGTACATTTCTGTATTTTTGCTGTACTAATATATATCATTGAGTACTTACTAAGGCAATAAGCAGATTTGCAAGTTTTTATTATTTTCAGTTGTCTATGTTCAATTCAATAGAAAAACTTGAGCACAAAAACTATTTCTACTTCCTCTGAAACATCCAAACTCTAATTCATGAATAAATAACAGATACAGAATGCCACAGGGAAAGATTTTTCCACTTGGAATCATATAACCTAGGTTCAAGATTTGCCTCTGTAGCTACTGGCCTGTACAATCTAAAATAGGTCACTGCTCTGAGACTCAGTTTCCTATCCTATTTTTTTAAACAAGGTGGGAAAAAATAATACCTCAGAGCCTATGGCATTAAATGACAAAACCATGTAATAAAAAGCTCTGTTATTATTCTATATTATTATTATTAGGCTGATAATGAGAACCCATGTCCAGAGCATTTTAACCACAGTTAGAAATAAACGTTGATCAGACCTCTGTACTTTTAAATTACACACGAGTGAAGATCAAATACTCCCTTTCAATTTTAAATACAATGACAGTTTATATCAAAATGCTCAATTGTTAAATGGAATCAATGATACATCAAATACGATCCATATTATAAAGACTGCCAAAACACTTAATACTTGAGGAAAACAAAGATAAAAAAGATAAAGCTTAAGCAAAATAAGTCAGAGGGAGGAAGTCAAATGCTGTATGATCTCACTCATAAGTAGAAGATAAAAATAATGACAAACAGTCACACAGAGACAGAGATTGGATTGGTGGTTACCAGAGGGGAAGAGAGGTGGGAAGAGGGCGAAAGGGGTGATTAGGCACATATGTGGTGATGGGCTGTAATTAGTCTTTGAGTGGTAAACATGATGTAATTTACATAGGAATCGAAATATAATAACGTACACCTGAAATTTATATGTTATAAATCAATGTTACCACAATTTAAAAAAAGATAAAGCTTAAAAGCTGAGAAGATAAAACTTAACCCCAAAATTACAGAACTATTGAATTAGAAAAGTTGTTTTATAAGAGGTTTTCTGGAAAAGTATTTTAACTTTATGTTAACTGAAAGTAATTTCTACTTTTATTATTAAATTTAAAAGGCTTAGGAGTGAGACACCTTATTAAGACCACATCCTTCAAACTCTTAACAAAGAACCATGGAGATACAACTGGCACACAGCTCAAAACCCTCTACTTCCCCTACATAAACCCAAACGTTAGTGATCTCTTTCTGAATAAATTGCTATCCACAAGTTTAACCAATGAGTATCTTACCACTCACCAGGCTACAGTTTTGGAGAATATGATCAAGCCAGGTTTATATTATATAAACTTCAATGAGTTTAGCAACAACCTGAAACTCAATTTGATAAACATTTATTGAGGGCTAGCGATGTGCCTATCCAAGGAAACAGGAATAGAAAGATGACCAAGACCAGCTCCCTATCCCCAGAAGGCTGTCCAAGAGGGGGGCCAGGAAGAAGCAGCTTATGTGAACGTAGATTACATAATCTGTAATAAAATTTATAAAACACAAGTGATCCATATCTAATACCACATATAATTCTTATGTTAAATGCTAACTGACATGACTAGCAAAGGATTCGCTTAAATGACTGGAATTGGTGTCACTCATACAACAGAATCAATCCTTTCTGGTATCTGCTAAGGGGATTGTTCTGGGACTCCTCTGAAGAAAGTTAAACGTGTAAAACTGGCCTTTCACAATCTTTGAGATTTCAAGCGTAATCTTTCAGTACTTGACAGAATGGGAAAACAGAAAATGAGTAAGGATAGAGAAGACTTGAACAATGTTATCAACTCAACGATATAAAGTCATAAGAGGTTATTTAGAAGGTAACCATCAGTGGGGGTGGCTACCATCTTTATTTTTATGGCCTCTTTCCAGAGACTACCTATGGGCTGTCTGGCTAATTCAACCTCTCTGTCTCATCAGGACTCGTCCAGGACAGCAGTGTGATCTAAGCTTTCCTGCTCAGCATCCCATTGATCATGTGTTCCCAATTTGTACATATATACTATATTTACAAATTACATGTGTATTATTGATAGCATATTATACACCCTAAAATAGATCAAAAGTAGAAAATTTTACAGTATCATATACTTCAGCGTATTATCTTAAACACACCCCATGTGTGGGCAGAGACAAAGCTCTAACATACCGATTAACTTACAATATTCCTTTTTAGTGTTTTATTTTTGTAGATTTGAATAGAAATACATATCAGATTTAGGCTTAAATGTCAAGTCTTCAGAGAGACTTTCTCTGACTATCCTATTTAAAAAGTCACCTCTGGGGGCCAGCCCTGGTGGCCTAGTGCTTAAGTTCAGTGTGCTCTGCTCCAGCGGCCCAGGGTCAGTCCTCAGGTGTGGACCTACACTGCTGGTTGGTGGCCATGCTGTGGTGGCAGCCCACATACAAAACAGAGGAAGATTTGCCACAGACGTTAGCTCAGTGCGCATCTTCCTTGGAGGGGAGGAGGGGGAGTCATCGCTGTTTTTCTTTTTTATTGCATACTATTTTCATAGCACTTACTAAATATTCAGTTATTTATATCTATATTTTATATTCACTATTTTGGTTTTTTATGGACTGCATTTTACATTAGTTTTAAATTTCACAAGGGAGAGATCTTGTCTATTTTATTTATTAATCTATACTCAGAGCTTGACAATATGGACATTATATATATATATATATCTCCCAGCTTATGGTGTAGGCACCAAGTAAATATTTGTGGAATGAAATGACTAGAAAGAAGACAGGAAATGTACGTATAAGAGATATTTTTTAAAACCAATGTTTAACTTCCTTCAAGTTATTTAAAATTTAGTCCTTTTAATTTTATGTTCTCTTTTGATCTGGTGCTTAAAATTCCTTCTTTTCATCTGGGTAACTGTTTTACAGCAGCCTCAAGTCTCTGACATTTGCAACATTTATCTTTCATAGGAGTTTGCCTCTAACTTTCTGCTTTACTCTTTGGACCATTAGAAATAAATTTCTATAATCTATTTTAAAAAGTATTTTTTCGCTGAGATTTCTTTCACATATTTTGTCTTTGCAGTATTACAGAACACAAAAGAATATTCAAAAGTGACATGTTATTTCATGTGTTGACTGATTTTAATTAAACATTTCCCTGAAATCAACTAACTTTGTTGCAGTTTCCTGACTGCCATGACATTTCACAAAGATGTATTTCTTTTCAAATGGGACGTCAGAAATCATTAATTTATAATAACAAGATTGGAATTTACTATTATCATTTCAATTAATTTATACACTACTGGTAAAACTGATTCTTAAGTATACATGTGGATGAATTGTTTATGTGTATATGGGTATATGTTGGTAAATTGTTTCAATATTAGTGGCTTATTTGAACCCACTTTTATGCTTCTTAAACTTTCCTTATATATGCCTAAGAGAAGCTACATGACTTTGTACTCTCACAGTTCCGTATGCACAATGTGAAATGCTTAATTTTTACATTTAACTTTTTTCTCTCTCTTAGTTTGTGTGTGATTCACATAACATACAATTCACCTATCTAAAGTCAGAGTTGTGCAGCCATCATCTCATTCAATTTTAGATCACTTTCATCACTCCCAAAAGAAACTCTGCACCCCTTAGCCATCAGCCGTTAATACGTCTTTGCCCCCAGCCCTAGGCAACCGCTAATCTACTTTCTGTCTCTATAGAATTTTATATTCTGGACATTTTATATAACTGCAAACATATAATATGTGGTCCTTTGCGACTGGCTTCTTTCACTGAGCATAATGTCTTCAAGGTTCATCTATGTTGCAGTATGTATCAATAATATCTCTTAGTTTTAATATAAAAATATTTAATTTTACTTAACCATGACGAACACTCGATTCTCTGGGGAAAAAATGCTCTTTCTTCTTCTGCTATGTATGCTCACTTTCCTTCCCACCTATCCCAAGCACACCGTTCACACACCCCTAGAATATACATACCCCAGTTTTAGATTCACAGACACATTCTCAGAATGGGACGATATTACCTTTTAAAAAGTCTCCACATGCCTTTAAAAAAGATTTCAGGAAAAAGTCCTCTCATAACTTAAAGCAAGCAAGCCCCAAGATCTCAGAGACTGCCTGACTTAATTGCCAACATTCAAGAGTTGGGGAGAGGCAGGTAGAGGCCATAGGTCTAATAAACCACTCTGATTAACCATCCCCTGGCAAACCCATACTCCCTTTCCTATTTACTCTGATTTATTCTCCACAGTACTCACTACCATCTAACATATTACATATTTGTTTTTTATCTGTCTTTCTCTATAATGTAAGTTTCATGGGCAGAAGTTTTATTTTATTCAAGGATATGCCTAGCACTTACCACTGTTTCAGTAAAATTTGTTCAATTATAAGGAAATTTTACAGGATATTGTATATATACAATTTCTTCCCAATTGGTATTTGTATGATTTATAACCAATGTATAAGTAAACATCTAAAATCTAGCTGCTAAAAAATTACAGATGAAAAATACTACTGATGCACCAATACAGTAATCTGTGATTTAAAATCAAGAATAGAAATAACTATCAACTAGACAGATAATCAGCAAGTCTATAGAAGACTTGAACACCACTATCAACCAATCAGGCCTAACAGGCATCTACAAAACACGACTCTCGACAACAGCAGAATGCACACTTTTTAAGCACACAGAGAACTTTGTCCAGGATAGACCATATGCTAGTCCAGGAACAAGTATTGATAAATTTAAAAGGTCAGAAATCACACAAAATCTGTTCTCTGACTACAATGGAGTTGAGTTAGAAATCAAAC